CTTCTTACGAAGCCACTCCTTCGTTGCCCGGGCGGTGTGTTTGGGATCATTGTCATGCTGAAAGACCCAGCCACGTTTCATCTTCAATGCCCTTGCTGATGGAAGGAGGTTTTCACTCAAAATCTCACGATACATGGCCCCATTCATTCTTTCCTTTACACGGATCAGTCATCCTGGTCCCTTTGCAGAAAAACAGCCCCAAAGCATGATGTTTCCACCCCCATGCTTCACAGTAGGTATGGTGTTCTTTGGATGCAACTCAGCATTCTTTGTCCTCCAAACACGACCAGTTGAGTTTTTACCAAAAAGTTCTATTTTGGTTTCATCTGACCATATGACATTCTCCCAATCCTCTTCTGGATCATCCAAATGCACTCTAGCAAACTTCAGACGGGCCTGGACATGTACTGGCTTAAGCAGGGGGACACGTCTGGCACTGCAGGATTTGAGTCCCTGGTGGCGTAGTGTGTTACTGATGGTAGGCTTTGTTACTTTGGTCCCAGCTCTCTGCAGGTCATTCACTAGGTCCCCCCGTGTGGTTCTGGGATCTTTGCTCACCGTTCTTGTGATCATTTTGACCCCACGGGGTGAGATCTTGCGTGGAGCCCCAGATCGAGGGAGATTATCAGTGGTCTTGTATGTCTTCCATTTCCTAATAATTGCTCCCACAGTTGATTTCTTCAAACCAAGCTGCTTACCTATTGCAGATTCAGTCTTCCCAGCCTGGTGCAGGTCTACAATTTTGTTTCTGGTGTCCTTTGACAGCTCTTTCGTCTTGGCCATAGTGGAGTTTGGAGTGTGACTGTTTGAGGTTGTGGACAGGTGTCTTTTATACTGATAACAAGTTCAAACAGGTGCCATTAATACAGGTAATGAGTGGAGGACAGAGGAGCCTCTTAAAGAAGAAGTCACAGGTCTGTGAGAGCCAGAAATCTTGCTTGTTTGTAGGTGACCAAATACTTATTTTCCACCATAATTTGCAAATAAATTCATAAAAAATCCTACAATGTGATTTTCTGGATTTTTTTCCCTCAATTTGTCTGTCAGAGTTGACGTGTACCTATGATGAAAATTACAGGCCTCTCTCATCTTTTTAAGTGGGAGAACTTGCACAATTGGTGGCTGACTAAATACTTTTTTTCTCCACTGTACATCCGATATTTTATCATGTAAATGTAATAAAGACATGTTATTTTGACATGTCCCTCCGTGCGCCTTCTGTGACTTCTAGGAAGATTTTAACCCACTTAACCAAAACGTTTCACCATAATTGTAAAACATAGTCATATCTGAAGATTATCATTTATTTCATGTGATTAGTGAATCATTTACGTCTGTCCCAAATTTTAGGGTCAACCCTGTTACATGAACTGAACTCTCGTTTTAATATGGTGAAACTATTCCTTTTTAAACATTTTTTTTCTCCAAAGAAACATTTAACATCTGATAGTCAAATCATAGTGTAAAAGCAGGTGAGCTGGTTTGACAACAAAATGCAATTTTCTGGTGTTTTGTGATGGAAAACTGAGCGGGTCGAGCAGAACACGTTACCCATAGATAGACAGGCTAGAGTTTTTCTTACAATTTACATTTGTTTGTGAAGCTTGCATTCAATTGCTACTCCTTCTTGCACACAACAAGCTTCCATTCAGTGGATTCATGGCTAATTTAAGATGAAATCATCAACACTGTTACGGTCAACCCTGTTACTTTATTTGGCACTTACTAAAGTAATTTTTGTACTGAACCTTTTACTGCAGTGGGCTAAATCAGGGTCACACAGATTGATTCTTGGTAGTCTTAAACAAATCTACTTTGAAACAAAAGTATACACCTCACACACATGGTTATGGGCTTAAAAAAAAAGAAGACGTACCATGTCAGATAAAGAGTTGAGGGTGCTTTTGGTCATTGACTGCAGGAAAGGGCTACCCTCTAGAGATGGGAAAACATGTTTTTTTATTCAGTTGAACATGCACTCTTTATTACAGAATGTTAAAATTTGGTGAAATCTAAAGGTTTTTTTGACCAAGTTACACTTCTCAAAAGACATTGAATTGGTGGAACGACCCAGACAGAGAGAAGAAGTAGGTGTATGGGTGCTTCAACTGCTTGTTGTTGCTGTGTGACTGTCAGTCCTCCTAGCCACGGCTGCAGTGTCTGTTCATTTCCCCTCTTTCTTTTACAGTATCTCTGTTGAGCTCCTCTCTTTCCCCTCTCCTCCTTTCTTCCCCTCTATCACATTCCCTCTCACCCCCTTTACCTCTACTCTACACTAAAAAGAACAGGTTCCTGGAGTATCCTTCAGGGGTTCTTCAAATTGAAGCTGTGGGGGAACCCCTTTTAATGGATCCTCGAATAACCTTTTGAATAACCTTTTGGGGTTAATCTTTGAACTACACCCCCCTCCCCTATTATTATTATTATTATTATTAATAAGAATAATAATAATACACATGATAATGACAACAATAACACCATATTTTAGTTGTCAGTGTTTATTATGATTTTAGTGGCAAAGCAGAATAAAAAAATCTCCCAGTAGAGCCCCAAGTCCAATGGGTATATCCTTTGGCATGTTGATGTTAATGTGTTGATATTCTCTGGATCCATAGCCAGAATGATTTTGCAGTGCATGGTGATCGAAGATGTTTCCTGTTATATTCGTAAGAGGTTTTGGGAGGGTGAAGTCTGTGAATCCCAAAAATTGTAATTATACAGATGTTTAACAAAACATGCACACAACAGTATTCATACCTTGGTTTTTTATGGTAAACATGAATGAAAAAAACTGTTTTGATAATGGTTTTCATACACATACCTTGTCCATAATGTAGAGGCCTATGGGATATTCATTGAAGAGGTAAGGGAGGAGGATTGTACATATGATCTGCATAACATACCAATACCAATTTACATACCTTTGTATGCCTCCTCGTCTGTAAACCTGCAGACACAGACACAAAAGTGATCAGTTCAGTCATCTGCATCCAATACAGCTAGCCTTCAACATATTCGTATAGCATTCATATTGTTACCTCTTTGTTGATTGATATCCATTGAATTGTGTCCATTTTCTGTTTTAGAAAGATTTGCACAAATATGAAAAGATCGATATTATCATCATAAAACAATATCAATTTAGATCATACAAGGGACAAACCTTACCTTCAATTTAGGAGATCTTTACATTTTTCAGTTAAGTGCCTGCACCTGCTGTCCTTTTAAATTCAAATCCAAATGCTTCAGTTGGGCTGTTAAGTTCCTGCAAGAACCCCCACCCACTTTTGGGGGCAATTTTCAGTGCCAAGAACCCTAAGGTTCTTTGAAGAACTTTGACTTAGAAGAACCCTTGTTGAACCCCTAATTTTTAGTGTACTTGCGCTTTGCTTCTCTTATTCCTTCTCCCTCCTTCCTTCTCCCCACCACTCTCTCATCTCCTCCCTCACTGTATTCTTTCAACCTGGAGTCATGTGTAGAGTAACATAGTAAACTTAAGTCTGTCTCCCTCCATTTAGTATGGTATGTATTAATTTGTGGATGTCCATCATCCATTTCATATGATACTGTATGTTATGAATTACAATTTGTATAATGTGTTACGATTTGCAATTCATACAATATGCTATGAATTTTCAATACGTATGATATGTTACAAATTCCAATTTGTTGTGGCTAACGTTAGCTAGGAGGCTATGTGGCTAACACTAATGTTAGCTACAGTAGGTGGCTAACGTTAGCTAGGCTAGGGGTTAGGGTTAGGGGTTAAGGTTAGGGTTAAGGTTAGGGTAAGTTTAAAGTAAGGGTTATGAGTTAAGTTAAAGAGTTAGGGTTGGGTTCGGGTTAGGGGAAGGGTTAGCTAACATGCTAAGTAGTTGCAAAATAGCTAAAAAGTAAGTAGTTGCTAAAATGCTAATGTTGTCCATTATGAGATTTGAACACGCAACCGTTGACTTGCTGGACATTCGTATTATATGCTCACCCATCCACTCCGACCAACCACCCTTCTTTCATTTTTGCCTTAAGTAAACTTCTGTCTTATGTAACCATACCAAACCTAACTAGTGCTGATCGATTAACCAAATTTTTTTTTTTTTTGGGGGGGGGTTTTAAACAACTAATTGACCGAAGTCAGTTCAATTATTTGAATTCCATTTCGTTCGTTTTTTCTGTTAGCTCAATGAGCACATTGCACAGTTTCTCTAGAGATAAATCAGATCAAGCCCGGACTGTGTGATATAGTAGGGAGATGTAGTTTCCAACAGGCCAATATACTACATAGTTTAGTGCAAAAAACGTGGTAATTAACTTCTTTGACCATAATCCATTGCATGCCTACTTGTCCGATCTCTGTGTTTCTTTTAGGCCTGCTACATTAGGTTAGTTTGGGGCGGACCCGGAGAGGGAGAGAAGAGACAGAACAATGTGCGATCGAGAGTGATAGAGAGCAGTTGCTTCGTGAGGTATCTCTACCTGAAAATACATGATCTAAGTGATGGATAGTTGGTATTCAGCAGTCATAAAAGCACACCTTATTTACTTTGAAGAACTACTAAAATAGTGATTTAGTCAGACAGCATAGGCAGCAGCTCTATAGAGATGAGATGATGACTTGGAATTAAATAATAAAGTCATCAAATAAAACAAATGTAATATACACAACATTTCATTAAAGTAATGTGAATAAATGATGGTAAATAAGCAGTAATGGGCAGTCACTACCATCATGGGACTTATATTAATTGTTTTATTCTGTGTTGTTACAGCATTCATCCTACATAATGCATAGTGCATTAATGTCTAAAGAAATGATCGTACTGAAAATGAACCGACCTCAAACAGCACTAATCGCTCAGCACTAAAAGTTGAATATCATACTCATTTCAGTGTCCTTTCTTTATATTTACTATGTTACATCTAATTTATGAGACCAGATTGACTCTTTAACCTAACTTGACTTAAATTCTGACTCCCCTCTCTCCCCCTCTGTCTTCCTCTAGATGTTTGGCTGTAGTGCATCAGCCCAGGTGAAGACCAGTAGAGAGACTAAAGGACAGTACCTCTCAGCCAACATGGCCTTCTCTGTAGGGGTCATGTCTGCCATGTACCTCTGCAAGGGGGTCTCAGGTAAACCCTACTACACCTTTAATCCCATGAAACAACAACTCATACAGTATACAGTATGTACAGTACAGAGGAGGCTGGTGGGATGAGCTATAGGAGGACGGGCTCATTGTAATGGCTGGCATGGAACTCCTGGAACGTAGTCAAACATGTGGTTTCCATATGATACTGTTCCATTTACTCCATTCCAGCCATTACAATGAGCCCGTCCTTCTATAGTTCCTCCCACCAGCCTCCACTGGTACAGTATATTTCCCCTTCAACTGACAACCCTAATCCTAAAATGAATACACACAGCAAATTCTCCAGTGTTAAATTAACACTGACAGACAAATATGTTATCATGATGTCACGGACGTTGAAGGACGGGTCAGACCAAGGCGCAGCGTGAAATGCATACATGTTTATTATCCAAAATAAACACACGAACAAAACAACGTAACGTGAAGTCCTCAGGCTAAACGCAACGCAACGCAACGCAACGCAACGCAACGCAACGCAACGCAACGCAACGCAACGCAACGCAACGCAACGCAACGCAACGCAACGCAACGCAACGCAACACAACACAACACAACACAACACAACACAACACAACACAACACAACACAACACAACACAACACAACACAACACAACACAACACAACACAACACAACACAACACAACACAACACAACACAACACAACACAACACAACACAACACAACACAACACAAGCCTATACACGGAACAAGATCCCACAACTAATGATTGCAAACAGGCTACTTAAGTATGATCCCCAATCAGAGACAACGAGCGACAGCTGCCTCTGATTGGGAATCACACCCGGCCAAACATAGAAATACACAACCTAGAATGTGAACATAGAAATAATAACATAGATCTCCACACCCTGACTCAACATACAAGAGTCCCATAAGTCAGGGCGTGACACATGAAAATGTTATTACTCAACACAATACAAGTATTTAATAAGGCCTTATTTTGAGGGCCTAGTTTTATCCTAATGCAGTAGCCTGAAACTCATGTTCTTCAGGCCTGCAAGTCACATTGTGATGGCTTGCAAAGTGATGTGTAATTCCTATTGGAATACAGCCAGAGTGGGGATATCCAACATTTTGGAATTTTTATTCACCTGCAATCTGCATTCAGAATGACTGCCGGGTTGAGCAGACAAAGCCATGAGACAACCTAAACCATCTAAACTGGAACAACCATTTCAGTAACGGGTGCAATAAATCCATGTAACAGATTGTAATAGTTTTGAAAAATTTTATGTTATTTATATTTAAGTAACATAAGATTAATGAATCAACAGTACATGCAAAAAACATAGATATTGAAATAAACAATTCCAAAAATCAACCTGCAATAGAGCATGCTGGGAAATATGTTAATGATGGGCATGGTTTTGGTTTAACACTGGTTATTAACACCAAAGCTTGTGTTCTTTTTACACCAATTAGTGTTAATGTAACACTTACAGGGTTAATTGAACACCTGAATCAACACTAGGAATGTTACACTAAAAAATCAACACTAGGTAATACTGGCCAATTTGCTGTGCACCATTACTAAGCTTGATTTCATTAGCGGTTCTCATATGTCTGTACCCTCCCATTCTACGTATTTATACCATACTGTCAACGGCAGTCTGGCAACAGTAACGGACGTAGGGGTGGTGTGAAATGGTCACACAAGCGCCCAGACTTCTATGTGAGTTATGAGTGTAACATTACTGTGGTCACACAGTGCTAGCTGTCTGTCGTGTCCTGGTGATTCATTCTGCATTAGGCTGTTACTGCAGTGGCCACAACTCTCCATGGTCTCACTCCCACACATACTCTCACTCTTTTTAATCTGTGTGTGTGTGTGTGTGCGTGTGTGCTTGTGATGTTCACAGATTTAGTGGGTGAGATCATAAACAGGTTGACAGATTCTCTCCCTCTCTCTCCCCCTCTCTCTCCCTCTCCTCTCTCGTCTCTCTTCTCCTCTCCCCCTCCTTCTCTCTCTCTCTACCTCTCTATCTCCTCTCTCTCTCTCTCTCTCTCTCTCTTGCTCTTGCTCTCTCTCTCCTGTAGGAGCCCATCTGAACCCAGCGGTCACTCTGAGTTTCTGTTCGTTGGGCAGGGTGCCCTGGGTGAAGCTGCTCCCATACTCTCTGTGTCAGGTGCTGGGAGCTTACCTGGCCTCTGGCCTGGTCTTCCTGGTCTACTATGGTCAGTCACACACACTCTCACACCAGTCCCACCAATCATTGGTGTCATGTCAGCTTGTTACATGCAGATGCAGCAGTATAGAGTGGTAAGACATTAGGATATAGTGTGTGCCATGATGAATGTCACTGAACAACCAGTTCCCTCTCTCTGTCAGATGCTATCATGGACTTCAGTGGAGGGAATTTGACAGTGTACGGGGCAAATGAGACGGCATCCATCTTTGCCACCTATCCCGTAGAGCACCTATCTCTCAGCAGCAGCATCCTAGACCAGGTCAGATCAATATGATACAGTATGAAGCAGGAACAGATGAGGGTGGGTCGTCACTAACTACCACAGCCACAAAGTCATAAACCATGTCTATTTTCTACAATTTCTCTTCTTAAAATCTGATTTTAAACCTAAACCTAACCTTAACCACACGGCTAACCTTATGCTTAACCCTAACCTTAAATTAAGATTACATTATCATTCATTGTTACAATATAGACAATTATATACTTTGTGGCTGTGCTATCTAGTGGAAACCATAATGGTGTTATAAATGTGAACATTCAGAAATATAAGAAAGTTAAATGGAACTGGGTGATTTGTTTTGTTAACGATTGACTCCTCGAGAGCTTGGGACTATAAGGTTCTATCTGCATTTTTGTCAAAATTGAGTTTTTGACATAGCCTTGTTCTGTTCAATGTTCTCTACCTACTGTATATAGTACTCTAAATACCACCAATTCATGTTGTTAAGTTCAAAAGAATACAAGATAAAATTGTTGACATCATTCAAACCAATGACGGTTTGGAACTTTAATGAAGCCAATTATCTCAGAATGATCTTTTTGCAGATAGAACCTTATAGTCCCAAGCTCTCGTCCTGTATTTGCTGGTTTCACACACAGGTGGTGGGCACTGCCATGTTGATGCTCTGCATCCTCCCATTGGACGACCAGAAGAATAGTCCTGCCCCCGACGCTCTGATCCCGCCCATCGTTGCCGTGGTGGTCCTGGGGATCGGCATGTCGATGTCGTCCAATTGCGGAGGAGCGATAAATCCCGCCCGTGACTTGGGGCCACGCCTCTTGACACTGACCGCCGGCTGGGGCACTGAAGTGTTCACGTAAGTCTTCTAGCACACACACACATTTTGACCTGAGAAAGCAGGTGTGCAACATGTGAGACAATACATGAATTGGTCAGTGGGTCAGTTAAATGCAGGGGAGAGAAGAGTGAACCATATAAAAGGAGTGGCCTACTCCTGAACTAGAGGTGGATCTGGTTTGTGTGTTTGTGAATGTGTTGGTGCCAAGTGTGCCAAGTGTGCCAAGCACAGGAGGCTGCTGAGGGGAGGATGGCTCATAATAATGGCTGGAATGGAGTGAATGGAATGGTATCAAACACATAGAAACCATGTGTTTGATGTGTTCGATACCATTCCATTAATTCCATTCCGGCCATTACTATGAGTCGGTCCTCCCCAATTAAGGTGCCACCGGCCGCCTGTGGTGCCAAGTGTGCCCGTAAGACACTTTATGTCTATAGGAACATCTACCAGCAGATACCAATGTGCTAGACAGGTACATGACGGACACACATGGCACAGATACCATATTTCAATTTGGAACTGGGCACGAGCTGTTGGAGTGTAGTTGATTGACTTGCAGACGTGGTAACGAATCCTCCCTCCCTCCTTCTCTTCTCTCTAGGTGTTATAACTACTGGTTCTGGGTTCCCCTGACGGCTCCTCTGCTGGGAGGGATGGTGGGCTCTGGGATGTATCTGGTCTTCATCGCGTGGCACCTGCCCGACCTTCCAACGAACCCCCCCATAGATAGCCCCTCTACCAAACCCACCGCAGAGGTGTGGAAGCAGCCCCCAGCACCAGAGAAGGAAGGGGTGGAGTTGAAAACTGCCGTTTTCTAGATAGGGTAGAGACATTCAGGCCTACTGTTGAAGTGAGAATGTGCACAGTGAGCGGGAATCTTTTCATTTTAATCACTGAATTCCAACTGACTTCGAAGAGACTCCAACCCCCCACTGGGCAAAAACTGGTTGAATCAACGTTGTTTCCATGTCATTTCAACCCCAAAAAATCAAAGGGATGACATTGAATCAACGTGAAAAACTGATTGGATTTGCAAAAGGTCATCAACATAAGGGCATTTATCTTTTTTTCTACCAACTTTTCACCTAAATCCAATGTTGTTGAATTCACATTAGTTGACAACTCAACCAAATGTAAATCAAAACTAGACATTGAACTGACTTCTTTGCCCAGTGGGGAGACATTTTTCTCTGGCTGGCTGTTTCCTATATGAGAAGGGACATGCTAACAGACTGATGGGAGAACATCTGTCCAAGACTCCCCTCCTATCATATTGTTCTATTGAGATGCTGCTACTGATTGAAGATCATGTGTATATATTAGTAGAGAGCTTCTATGACATACAGCTATGAAAGGAGAAATTTATATTATGATTAGAGCCTTCTGATTGTTTTTTTGTGGGTTTTATCTTTGACAGGTATTTCCAGCATTAGCAACTGGGTTTGCTGCAGGCAGAAATCCAAGGAAAATGCTCTTTAATTGACACAAGCTGTCTACAATCAATCATTCAATGTCTGAATGTGAGTGAGTGACTGTTATGGGGGGGCTAAGCTAGGTGAGGCGTATCTCTACGAAACGTAATTGCACAAAGCCTATTATTTGGCAGGGAATACTATTTGTACACTGAACAAAATGTTTAATGCAACATGTAAAGTGTTGGTTCCGTGGTTTATGAGCTGAAGTAAAAGATCCCAGACATTTTCCATATGCACAAAAAGCGTATTTCTCTCAAATGTTGTGCACAAATTTGTTTACATCCCTGTTAGTGAGCATTTCTCCTTTCCCAAGATAATCCATCCACCTGGCAGGTGTGGCATATCAAGAAGCTGATTAAACAGCATGATAATTACACAGGTGCACCTTGTGCTGGGGACAATAAAAGGCCACTCTAAAATGTGCAGTTTTGTCACAACACAATGCCACAGATGTCTCAGATGAATGTCCACCAGAGCTGTTGCCAGATAATTTAATGTTAATTTCTGTACCATAAGCCAATGTTGTTTTAGAAAATTTGGCAGTACGTCCGACCAGCTTTACAACCCAGGACCCCCACATCTGGCTTCTTCACCTGCGGGATTGTCTGAGACCAGCCAACCAGACAGCTGATGAAACTGAGGAGTATTTATGTCTGTTATAAAGCCCTTTTGTGGGGAAAAACTAATTCTGATTGGCTGGGCCTTGCTCCCCAGTGGGTGGGCTAGTCTCCCAAGTGGGTGGACCTATGCCCTCCCAGGCCCACCCATGGCTGTGCCACTGCCCAGTCATGTGAAATCCATAGATTAGGGCCTAATGAATTTATTTCAATTGACTGATTTCCTTATGAACTGTAACTCAGTAAAATCGTTGAAAATGTTGAACATTGCGTTTATAATTTTGTTCATTATAGATCAGTGATTATACACCTCATTTTGCTCAAGCTGATCCTCTCCCAGACTCAATCCCTGATCATCGGAGGCTATAAAAATGGGGGCAATTAGGGGAGAAGCTATGAATCCAACTAGAAAAGATTAAAAAAAACTCTAAATCAGAATATCGCTTGAAATAAGAGTGTGCCAATAATAATGATAAGAAGCTCTTTGAAGATGACAGCAATTCTGGAAAAGCCTGCAATTTAGCATTAGACTATAAACGGAAAGACAGGATACACACCCATCTGCAATAAAATAAACACATTACACCCAAGACAGTTTAGATAGGTGGCAGATCGTGGTGGATATAGCGAAATACTCTCATCCTTGCATAACAAGACATCAATCTCTTCTTAACATATGAGTTTGATAGGCATTTTTATATCATAAAATTGAGAAGGGGAAATGTTGACTATTTTCTGAGCATAAATGGTAAGCCTATTTTCATTCGCTATAGAAATAAAATTCCTCCAACTTCTCCAACTCTGTTAATACCGCAGTATTTGGAGAGATACGCTTCGCCATCTCCCAGCCTGCAGCCCGCAGCCACAAAGTGCGCGTAAAAGCTCAGGTACTCGGAATGATATGCTGACACTGTTGAATACATCACTGCCTGTAAATACACTGTATTAGCCAGAACAACGTTAACGTGTTCACCCAGCTCTCCTATAAAATATGAAGAACATATTGGCCTTGCGTGTCAGTGTATTTGTCTGTGGTTCATGGAGATGGTTTCGGTTTTTTAAACCAGACTGCGCCTCTGTTCATTACATGTGTGTTAATGAATGGCACATTTTGAGATTGTCAACTTTTTCGAGAGGGATGTTGGCGCTTGCAAAAGCCATATCCTCAGCATTTACGATTTTACATGAAATGGCTACTTAGTTCGGAAATAGGCTACATTTTTGGTTGTTGATAACATGCCTATTATTTACCATATAATGTTGATAACAGACAATGCATAAGTTAAATATTTATTTTAATATTGTCCTTAAGATAGGCTAATAATTTGGTTCATTGGGCTAAAGTGTAGGCTGCTGATGAGAATAATTGTCAGTAAACATTTAATTTCAGGTCATGGTTGGGAATGTATTTTGCACAAATTGGATAATTATGTTAGATGATCATGGTATGCACGTGTGACAATTAATTAACATGTGGTGTGAGAAGGCGCTATATCGGCCTCTTGAGGTCAGATGATCGAAATGCGAAAAATTAAATTACATTTAAAAAACGCCTGTCCCTAATTATGATTATTTTACTATTATTTTATTATGATGTGAAAATCTTATGGTTGCACTTATGCCAATAACTCCTGAGTAAAATGTGTTCATATTATTTCATAAACTCCTTATATTGCAGCATAAAGCATGAAGTTAATCTGTGGAATAAATATGAATTACCAATTATAAACTTGTGTATACATTTTCTGGAGTTCAGGCCTTTTTTATTAGCACATTTCGGGCATCTGCTTCTGCATGTGTCCATGTGTCTGTGTGTTTGTGCTGCTTGAGATCCTTTTTTAAAATGTCGTAGGTGGTTTAAAAAACAGATTGTTTTTCGTTTAATTTGAACGATTCACCATCCATGGGTTTATGGTGAAAAGATAGGCCTACATTGCTCGAATGCAATACCATTTCGTCTGCTATTTCTGGAGGAGTGCAAATATGATTTTGGGGCTGCAGGTAGCCTAGCGTTTAAGAACGTTCGAATCCCTGAGCCAACTAGGTGATAGATCTGTCAATGTGATCTTGAGCAAGGCACTTAACCCTAATTAGGAAGGTGTTCTTAATGTTTTGTACACTCAGTGTATAACGCTACCACCAGCCCAAAATGTACCATTGCATTAGGTTTGTTAAAATAGAGCCCACAGGATTCTATCCAAGCTAAAACATGAGCAGGTGACACCTGGAGCTGCAGCATATCAACCAGGGATGTGGTGACATGTGACCTACAGTGGGAGTGTTTACTGTCTCCATCATGACCTACTCACACTGACAATTACATCAATTGTTGCAATCTTCACTCCTCTCTCTCTTCACTCACACAACTCTCGCGTCATTGTTCATGAAAGGTTGTGTTTCCTTCCAACTTGTCTCTCTCCATCTTTCTCTCTCTCCCTTTCCCCCCATCTTTCCCTCTCTCCAGGGCAAGTAACACATTGTATCATTTGACCTCTCTGGCCTTCAAAAGGAGATTTCCCCTCACACATCCATACTGAAAAGTTGACCATTTTGGCATTGCCTGTAGAAAGTGTGAGAAGGACCAGTGTGTGTGTCTGGGTGTGTGAGTGTGTGTGGAGCATCCATGTTTTTGTGTAATTTAGATGTTGACGTCGCCCACTAACCACATCAGAGAACGTACTGGAGCCACGAATTACAGCACTCCGGGGTTCGTGTTGGTCTGCGTTTTATCTATTCATTTTATCATTTTATTTGTTCTCTCTAGCCTTAATCTGTTCAGGTAGAGAGCTGTAGCAGTTCTAAACCGTCTAGTTTTTTGTTCATGTTTGGTAGTGGTAGTTGCACCTGCTTGTGTCAGTGCAGTAGTGTCAGCGTTAAAGTATCAGTGTCTGCACGTTTCAGTCAGTCCTGCTGGAAGTGTGTGCAGCATCAGTGTTGTATTAGCATTGTTTTTAAGCTTGTCTGGGACATTTCAGCGTGGAGTCAGTGCTGCGGTCTTAGTGTGTGCAAGTGAGTGCAGGGTCATTGTTGTGGTCTCAGTAATAAGTATCCCAGGCAGTATGTATTGGTGTGTGAGAGAGAGATGGAGAAGGCTCGAGGCTGGTTGAGTTCTAACATGAAGCCCCTCTTCAGAGAATGTCTAGCAGAGTGTATGGGAGTCTACGTCATGATCGTGAGTATACCCTCCGCTATATGCAACCTGACCGTAACCATCGACCGTAACCATTTTTGTTTATTTTTCATGCTATGGTGCTGGGATGTTGTGTTGTGTCTGTCCAGTTGTTTGGCGTAGGCTCCATGGCCCAAAACATCACCAGTAGGAACATGAAGGGGGAATATCTGTCCACTAATTTTGCCTTCGCCTTATGGGGATCTATTCTCTTACAACTAGATGTGAAAGAATACATTAATGATTAAACATAATAGGTTTGTGCTATACTGATATAGATTGTTTAACATAACAAGTTGTGATTAATGTGAGGAACCGTTAGGGGGTAGGCTGAGATAGGCTTGTGACTCACACACACACACACTGCCTCTTTGTTAAACTGCTCAAGGACATGTGTACTGCTACAATGAAAAAGAACAAACTATGTCTGAGGTTGCTGACTCGATACAAGTTGTAAAGATAACAACTAATGCCCGACAACAGTGAAGCGCCAAGGGGCTGGGACCAGCCTGAGCGCCAACGATAGCTCAGTTCTCTGTCTGCCCTGCGTGGTTTTTCAGTGGGCCCGTATATACGAACATCATATTTACCATTCAAGTGTTTGCATTAATTAAAATACTAGTCTATTTTAGAAGACGTGTATTGACCTCTTTTTGTTCCTATACCAGATTTGAATTGACGCAATTTGACAGCCTTCGCCACCACCTTCGGCATGTACATCACACGAGGAGTATCGGGTAAGGACTGAAACCGAGTCTGTCTGAAATCATGTTTAAATAACATTGCAGCTTTAATTGTTTCATAGATTCTAAAGTGTTTTTCCGCTACAAAATCAAACCCATTTCGTAGATTGTTGAACAAAATGTATAATGTATTTTATAAAGCCCTTTTTACATTGGCAATCGTCACAGAGTGACACCATTGTGGATATGTTGGCTGGTGGTGTTGTATGTGATAGTGATGTATGTGTGTCCTCTCTCTGCTAGGGGCCCAGTTAAATCCCGCGGTGTCCTTCAGCATGTGTGTGTTGGGCAGACACCACTGGAGGAAGTTTCCCTTCTACACTGTGTTCCAGCTGATAGGCTCATTCATGGGGGCTGTCACCATCTACACTCTCTACTATGGTAAGGAACTGTTACATTTATACGCATATCATTATGAGTATGCTCTTTACAGTAATGAGTTAAATTGATATGCTACTTACACCTATAAAACAATGTATTCTATACCCTTCATTATAAGGTTTTGTTTTACGAGGAGCTAACCTTTTTGTCTACGTACACACATTGATTCACTCACAGACGTGCACACAGATGCAAACACACGCTCACACACACTCACACGCACACAATCATACCACTCCCCTTTACCATGCAGAAGTGACATTTGTTGTGGAGACAGACAGAGAGGCAAACAGAAACAGACACAAAGATCTCTTTGTATGGAGGAATAATCGGTCATGTTGAATAAAAAAGATAAAACGTCTGCAATAACAGCACTGATGTTACAGTGAAGCAGGTTTCTAAACATACAGTAGATATTCTGTTTTAGTATCATCTGTCTCCCTCTCTCTCCCCCCCTCTCTTGCTCGCTCTCTCTCTCTCCTCCTCTCTCTCTCCCCCCCCCCCCCCCTCTCTCTCTGTGTGTAGATGCCATTATGAACTACTGCCAGGGCAACCTCACAGTGACAGGTCCCACTGCCACAGCCCAGATCTTTGCCACATACCCTGCTGACTACCTCAGCATCTGGAACGGTTTCGTAGACCAGGTCGATGGAGAGAGGAGTGGAGAGAGGAAGAGAGGGATGTAGATAGAGAGAGGGATGGAGAGAGGAAGAGAGGGATGTAGATAGAGAGAGGTATGCAGCAGAGAGGAAGATAGAAGCAGCAGATAGATAAAGAGAAAAGTCTGCATTACTGTAACATAAAATTGTCATACTAACAGCCCAATGCTGAGTCGATATCATACAGCATCAACCATGGCTAACACCCCCCCCCCCCCCCCCCTCTCGCTTTCTCTCTCGCTTTCTCTCTCTCTCTCTCGCTCTCTCTCTCTCTCTCTCTCTCTCTCTCTCGCTCTCTCTCTCTCTCTCTCTCTCTCTCTCTCTCTCTCTCGCTCTCTCTCTCTCTGTCAGTGCTGGTGGGGGGTGGTTCTGGGTGCCCCTGGTGGCCCCGTTCCTGGGGGCTATGGTAGGCGTGGCTCTGTACCAGCTCTTCATTGAGCTGCACCACCCACCCCTTCAACTGGAGTCCAATGGGCTCTGTCTGGAGAACAAGATGGCGCCCGGTCTGGAGGCAATGGAACTGGGCCTGAAGTCATTCCCCAAGGACATACGATCTCAATCTCTAGCTGTTATTCAGCTGGACATAGAGAAGGCTGCCCATCTGGAGGAGAAAGTCAGCCATCTGTAACCATGACTTCCCTTCCCCTTCTTCTCTGTCCTCCTCTGTTCTCTCTCTCTCTCTCTCTCTCTCTCTCTCTCTCTCTCTCTCTCTCTCGCTCTCTCGCTCTCTCTCTCTCTCTCTCTCTCTCTGTCTGTCTGTCCTCTCTTTCTCCTAAACTTGTACTGATTTGTAATTTTATGATAAAGGAAGGTGTGTGTGTTTGAGGAATATGGTTATATGAGAGTGCTTATTTATACAGTTTTGGCCATTGTAGTCATAGTGTATGTGTTGAGATTGTTTTGGGCTGTGTTTTGTGAGTTCAGAATAAATTCAACATAAAATATTTGATTTGAAGCTCTGAATATCAAAAGCAAAAAAAAAAAATAATAACACCGCGCAACGCGGCGTCTTGGTGCTGATGTTGCGCCCCCAAAATATAGGCGGTTGCTGTTGCCGACCAGCGACAGAAGGGGGCGCTATGAGATACACAATACAAAGCACATGGCTGAAAGGCTGCTGTTCAAGAATAACCTTTACATTCAATATTGAGGCGGGAGGTTGAGGGAAATTATGTTGACAAAAAAGGAACACTAAAAAGTTCCCCAAACTGTAATAACTAGGTGTCGACATTGTTTAATAATTTAAATAAGATTACAAAGGGGATCGTCTATTTTAATTATAGAAATTGCTTGAATATGCGTAGGAGGGTGGTCGAAGTAAACATCGCCCCTCCTTCCCCTCTCTCCCTGGCTGGAAAGAAAAAAAGCCCTTTCACCACGCCAGCATGCTTGTGTAGCAGCACCGCGCATCCCCAGTGCCTGCCTGTATGTATCCTCTACTGTACCTCCGTGGCCTTACAAACAAGGGCAGACGTGTCCTCAACACGCCCCAAACAGCAGCATGAACCCAGCGAGAGAGATTACTTGGATGTCGCTGTCAGAAATGTGCTCATAGCGTGGACTTGAAAAGGTAGGTTCCATAGCCAGCTGGTCGATAAATGTAGGCTAGCCAGCTAACGTTAAACAATTTCATGTCATGTTCTTTGTTTATTTCGCAGATATTTTGATTGAGCTAATTTAGCTATCCACTAATAATGCATTATAATTGTACGCCTGCACGTCAAATGTTCTTGCTACATCTGTGTATAAACGTTTACCTGTATAGGCCCTACTGTTGTTCGATAACGTGTGAATATATATGGGTAACTTTGTTGAGTTGTGCTTTACACTGACTGTGCAAGTATCAATCTCTTCCTGAATAAACTTAGCAAATGCTAGGCTATAAGGGCTATAGTAACTAGCTAGCCTACATCTGATTTATTAACCCCCTTTACTATTTTTTGCTATTGATACTGTTAACTACTTGAACTGTAATAACTATGTTATTACATGCTAATAATATCACGTTATGTA